AAATATTCTCTTTACCTCTCTATATAAACACAAAGGAAAAAAAAAATTTCATTGATCTTGCTTCGGCCGTTGTGGTGGTGCCATTGCAGGTATTAAAATTTAAATGATTTTATTTCCACAGATCATTGGTTTGGCTTTTATTATTATTTATTTTTCCCGTTCAAGAATAATGTTATTACTATTATTTTTATGCGTCCATCTGTTACAGCTACCATAGCCGTTGTCAGGTAGTATGATGTGATTTCTTATTTGGTTAGTTAGCCTAGAATTTTTGTATAATTTTAGTTATGTTTGGATTGAATTGATTGATTGGGTTTTTGTTACAAAGTGTGGTTTTTTATATTTTTTTTTATGTTTCATTCAATTAGAGTGATTTTCTTTTTTTTTAATTATGGAGTCTCAGGTTTTTTTCGTATATGGCTATGAAGTGTATTTTTTCTTTGTTTAATTGCTTTTGATTTTGTTTCATACTCCCAGTTGTCCAATTATTATTATTATTATTATTATTATTATTATTATTATTATTATTATTTTATTTACAAATGAAGCACGTTTCTTTTTTTGTGTTCGGAGTTTCAAGAATATACTTTTTTGGATTTGGTTTTTAGACTTTTTTTAGTTCCTCATCATATAAATAGTTCATGTCGCTTCTTTTAACTAATTTATGGGGAATCCTTTGATGAATTTGAGGTGGAGAGGGAAGGAATGATGTTTCTACGTTTATTTGTATTTTTATACATCATTTTTACCTACAGAAAAAAATAAAATTCTCAAATTTTAATAGGCTATCTTTTACTTTTTTTTTTATTTGCCATCGTGAGGTGAATTCTTTTTGCTATATCTTGAAACCTATGCAAATTTATATTATTTTCATTCTCATATTTGTGATCAATCAGTTTCAACAATTAACCATTTTCAAAATTATATTTTTGATATTTTACTGCCTGTTAACTTTTGAAAGAAATAGTTCCAACAATTAAGCGTATAGCCTTTGGAAGAAGCTAACTACAAAGCTATTATAAATCTCCAAAACTAAGTATTGATTTGGCACAACCAATGGAGAAAATCAATAAATTATCTTACTAATATTTAAACTTATTAGGATGCTTTTATATTTTGTCTAGCATTTACTTCAAGACATATATTTGATCAAGTTTATTTATATTTAAGAAGTAACACTTATAAAATATTTCTAAAATCTTCAAACATTTTTAAAACGTACCGGGCCAAATACAATTTATTTTTTTGCCAAATATAAACATCACACTTATAAAACATTTCTAAAATTCTTCAAATATTTTTAAAATATATCGGGCCAAATACAAAATATTTTTTTTTCCAGATACAAACATTTCTAAGATCTACAGATATATTGGGCCAGGGCGCAATGTGTGCGACCAGACATCACTAGTATTCTATACAAGCTAGTTTATTCTGCAGTTTGATTTGATGTCTTCTTTGACTGTGATTGTTACATGTGTATAGTATTAATCCATGGCCACAACCTGATTCATATGATATAGGTCGGTTTTACTTGGGTCTTGGAACGTGATGATCTGAAATATTATGCTTTCATTTGTTGTATACTATACTATCTTATCCCAAAAGAAATAAAAAATAAAAATTAATACAAAGTTAGGACGAATTAATTTGCTTAAGTTCCTGTTATCTCTTTTCGTTATGGATTATCACTTTCACAAAATGAAAGAAAAGAATGCAAGAAAAATATCTTTACGTTGTAGTACCTTGATATCAATCAGGTTGGATTACTACATACATAGGTACTCATTTCACATTTGCATCAAACCAGTTCCAATGTGAACTCTCGATCCCTATGAATCTACAAACAAAAAGTAAAAATCCCACCATATAGAATATACATAATGATTAAACCCTATATTTTTCGATCATCTTAATTATTATTAGATGAGATCAATGAATGAAGCAATTTGTATGGTAGACCCTACGCAGAAGTACGATCTCAAACTGTATAAAATGCCACTTTTAATTGGGAAGGATGTTATTATTATGATCGATGGTGTGGGGTTGCTTGAGCAAACCAGTAATAGTGCAACATAAGCAAGTAGGATATGGGAGAGTTGTGTGTGTGTGTGTGTGTGTGTGTGTGTGTTTGGGGCGGTTTGTGGGACTGCGGAATTAGTTGGTGTTGTCTTGTGTGCTGCGTTTTTTACACACTAAACATTCATCCTAAATTTTCAAACTTCATCATCATACAAACACCACTTTCATTTCTCCTTTTTTTAACCCCCAATGTGGAGAAGCAGTTTTATGTATAGGAGATTAAGATTAAATGTTGTTTAGAAAATTTTGAAGTTCATGGGTAGCTACTGATTCTCAAATCGCAATCGGACACAATAGTATTAATATTAGTACTCCCTCTGTCCCGAAATTATTATTCAGTATGAAAACTCAAATTGAACAATAATTTCGGGATGGATGAAGTAATAAATAAGATGAACAAATTGAAGATTTAAAGTTATTCTCCAAAGATTTCTGAAAAAATTGTGGACATAATCTTCACCTCTACCGTAGTACTCTGGACTCACATATTGTTAATTTGACGAACTGATATCATGTGAGAATTATTTGTGAGTCAAGATACCATGAGTTTTCACATATATTAAAATATTTTTTACATTGATTTTTTAGATTCGTTTTATTAATACAAACTTGTGGATTATTTTTCTACAATGGATTAATAGAAGTTATATACATACAATTTAAATTTTTTTCTTAAGAAGTAATTACTTTATCTTGTGAGTTGTGAAAGATTTGGTATCCAACATAATTCCATAGGAGGAAGATGATTTTTTTTTTAAGTACATTTTCTTTAGTTAATTAAGGCAATCAAGAGAGAAAGCAAGAGGATTATTGAATGACTCAAACAAAGCTTCTAGAAAAAGGGGTGGCAGAAGTAGGACCCTTAAACTAGGGAAATGATGTGACATGTCTCCACATGAACAACCTACGTTGTCGTCCGTTCCAGTTTCCTTCTTACTTTTTCAGTTTTTTTTTTTTTTTTTTAATTGAAATCTAGTAGCTCCATAATTTTTTTTGTTCTTTTTTCCTCTAAAATTACAAGACATATTACTCTGTTTGTTTGTCTCTTCTTATTCCTTTACTATTAGTTCTTTTTGTTATTTATCTAATCAATAAATAAAAGTATATTAAAAGAATTGGGACGATAATCATCTTATTGAATTTTTGGATTTGTATGGGATGCCAATATTTAGGCCTTGCATGTATTATTCCATCCGTTTCATTTATCAATTAGAACATTATAATAGAATGAGATTCTTATTTGGGATAATCATTCTATATTATGTTTTATGTGCCAATTCAAATAAAAATTTTTCTATATCTCAAAATAATTATTCAATTTAAATTTTCATTTTATGTGCGATTTGCATTGCAAAAAGAAAATTTTAAAATAAATAATTATTTCCAGACAGATTAAGAGCTAAACAACAACATTGTTTTGTATAGGCTCTTGTTATGATTTTGATATCGACTTGCATAACAAATGATTGATATATCACATTATTTTTTTTCAAGCCACGCCACTATTCCCTCTGTCCCAAAATTATTGTTCAGTTTGAGATTTCACTTTTAGTACAATTTGAATTAGAAATGAAAATCCAAACTGGACAATAATTATGGGACGGAGAGAGTATAAGTTTTGTTAGCATACATCTATAGTCTCTGATCACTGGCTGAGGCCGCCATGGGGTGGCAAGGTGCGGCGGTGACCTACCAAATTCGAGACCTCATTATTCCCTTCATTGAAAATAACCATTCCCTCTCAATAAATTTCGTTTAAAATAACAGAAAGTTTGGATAGATTAACGAGAGTGACGAAATATGAATTTAGCTCATGGATAATGGAGTTTAGATTTCAATATCTTCATGTTGGCAATAGTTGATTATATGAATCAGGAATAATTATTTTATTTGTCTTTTACAGAATTAATTATAAACAAGAGAATCTTATCAGAGTATTATGCTCATTAATAGCTACTTCATACGTTCGTAGCAACAGTGATCGATTTCTTGAGGTTCCACTTTCACTATCCTTTAATTTGTTCTTAAACCTTGCAATCAAAATCTGAAAATCATGTCGCGTTGACTAGATATATGATAATGCTACTCCTTTCATCTTAAAAATACTACTATCTCCGTCCCATAAAAATAGTCCACATTAAATTTTCAAATTTTTATTAAAAATAATAAAAAATTCAAAATTCAATGTGGACTGTTTTTTTTTTTTTTTGGACGGAGAGAGTAATTTTGTTTGTTGATAGAGAGAGTACGTAGTCCTTAATAATTATTGTGGGATTGGTACTTAATACTCATGTTCTGTACTACAAACGATAGGTGTCCTAATGCAAAATTATAAGTTGTGGCATCTATATATATAATTGAGCTATCGTATACAGTATTATTTCTTGTCATATTACCATTTCTTTTGTAAGAATGAAACACAATAGTACTATAGATTTATAGTTGTAAGAAACTTTTTCAACTGTCGATTGGAAACAACAAAATGACTTCAGATATTGTATGTAGGAAAACGATAAAAGTAGCTATTAAAATGCTCCTTTTCCCCCTTCATGTTTACTACTACCACTCTGTTTCTTCTTTTTTCTTTTTCTTTTTTTCCTTGACACTTCTAATGTTATACTTTATTCATCCAATGCAAATAGTAATGTAATCTAAAAACCAAACTTTAGAAATCGGACTATATTTTCTTAAAGTTTGAAAAAGTAATATGATAAAGGGAAAGAACGAAAATTTAAGTTGATGACTAAGTCTAATTTCAAATATTAATCTTAGAATGGACATATAGAGTATTTAATAACATATGGAAGAAAAACAAAAAAGGATTGTTCCGCATCAATAAATCAAAACTTGTTTTCATATATTTTTGAGGATTTATTCAAGCATTTTGTGTCGCATACAACCAAAAAAAGCTTCGAACTCTAAAGCAAACAAGGTGGATTAAACTGGAAGAGCTCCCAATACCCAACATGTTCATCATAACCTAATAGCAGTTTCCCTTTAGTAACCATCCATTTGCAATCATTTTGACATCTGAAGTAATCTCTGCCATCATCATAAGCATCAAAGCAACGCGCTTCTCTTTCATCATCAAATATAGTAACACAAGTGAACTTTAGAACGCCAGTAACTTTGAAATTCCAAGAAAATTCATGGGTGAATTCGATATCATGAGATCCACGATCATCGCCTCTGCTGGATTTGCAATGAACCCTTATGACTTCGTTAGGGCTCAAATCGTTCATAATGTGTGCCGTAACGCTCGCATAAGTCGCGCCAGGTAAATCGAGAGTGAAAACTAGCAGTAGAAGGATGGACCCAATGTAAGTTTTGATCGACCTCATGATTTTCTTTAGCTTCACAGCATAAATAATAATGTGATCTAAAGTAAAAGAATATGAAAATTTATGCAATCTACCTTCTGAGTTAAATAAACTTTGCGCATTAAATGAGGGACCGTTAAAAATATTCACTTATGTTTTCGTTTTTTTTTTTTTTCTCTTTATTGTGATTGGAAGAAAAAGTTGAATTGCCGCTGCCGGCCGTTGATGAAATAATTAATAGAAAGTTTCTTTTTTGTGTTTTTTCCTTAAGAAAAACATCTTTCCAATCTCTTCTTTCGTCCTTTTTTTCCTTTGGTATGATCCATTTCATATCATTGTTATCCCTTTTACCCTATTAAAGCAGAATACAGGAAGTTGATGTGGCAATTTCTTATTAAAAAAATTTGGCTCCAAATGCACCATATTGCTTTAACCATTCTGCCACGCGTCATCCCTTTTTAAAAGAAAAAAAAATTTCTTATCCAGAAAAACAAAAGCTAATTTACAAAAATAGCTACACAATTTTAACTCCTAACACTTATCATTTATCAATCAAATTAAGATAGGATTTAAATTTGTCCATAAAATTATCCCCTTTATTACCCCACATTCTTTTGTATGATTTCTGCATCGGTGTACTTTTCAATATTTTTTCTCCTTTTGTAGATGATTTTTTATTTTTATATTATTTTTGGCTAAAAAAGGGAAAACAATAAATGTGTAGCTATTTTATTTTTTCTAAATCAAAAATTCATTTATCTATTAACACAAAATTAAAGTAGAGGGGGCGCTGGCTAAAAAAGGGGAAACAATAAATGTGTAGCTATTTTATTTTTTCTAAATCAAAAATTCATTTATCTATTAACACAAAATTAAAGTAGAGGGGGCGCCCAGGCATCTGCCTGGGCCAAGCATCTAGTATAAATTAAAGAAAAGAAAGATAATCGACACGTCGCTTTTTGAGACAATCAAGCCTCACTTTTAACTTTTCGTTATTTTAGTCCTTAAAGTTCCATTTATGTGCTACTTAGTCTTCAAGTTTATCGATTTTACATTTTCAAGGACGATTAATTGTGTCTAATCTCCAAAGTCCCATTGCCTACAAATAAATCATAGGCATCTAGACATAATTTAAGTATTTTTTAAATATATTTTTTAATCCAAACATAGCATTAGTTAGTGTTGACCATTTTTATTATACAATTTTTGAAAATTTCTGTTGTAATATTTTTTACCAGATCTCACAAATATATATCTCATAAATAATATCAATACCTCTCAATTGATCTAAAATTGATTAATCTAAAAAAATATTACGGTTTTAAGAAATATTAGTAACTACATTATCTAATTAACTCTTTTGAAAAATAAATTTTCAACATTGACAAACCACGCAAAGCGCAGGACACATACTCGTTCATTTTCATTTTGATCCTTAGTTCTCACATATATAATGTAACGAAAGTTGTGTTGTGACTTGACTTGTGGTGACTGGCTAAATTATGCTAGTACTTGTATTTCCGTGTTAAAAAATTAAGAATTCGATTTGTTTGATTATCTTAATATAACAATCGAGATTCTTGTTTTGAGATCGAGATAGTAGAATTTGATTTATCTTAAAGAGTTAATTGATCCACTATATATATATATATGTGTGTGTGTGTGTGTGTATATTGACAATCAGGTTCTCTATCCAAAATCAAGTTTATTAATTGCATTAAAAATGTGTGTCTTAAATGTGACATCTGTTTACTTCGCAAATATGTGTCTAAATGTCTAATGTTTGGATTTTTCCTTTTCGTTTTCTTTTTGGTCCCCCTAATCTGGATACTACTGCTACCACAACAATAAATCTCATAAATCTAGTAAAAAAGAAATTAACAGGAGAATTAATTTGGACTTATCAAAGTGGAGTGAACAGTATTACCGGCATATGAACGGAAAAGACATGAATTAATCAACACTTTTATATTATACATCTCGTTTATATTATGGGAATTCATTCAAAATATTCTTCTACTATATCTTTTTCCTCCCAGAGAAGAGACAACCAAAATGGTTTCCGAAAAGCGAACTACACAGCAGGTGGGACAAACTCGAAGAGCTCCCACAATCCATTAGACTCATCGAAACCTAATAAGGTTTTCTCTCTAGAAATCATCCATTTACAATGCGATGAACATCTGCTCCAGTCTCTACTTTCATCGTACGCAACAAAGTAATGCCACACTTTATCATCATCAAATAGGGTTCCACAAGTATACATAGTTCTGCCCCAAAAACTAGGTCTGAAATCCCAACTGAACTCTTTGGTGAACTCAATATCATGGACGCCACGATCATCACTGCTGTCGTTCAATTTGCAGTGAAGCGTGATCATTTGGTTGGGACCTAAGTCGTTCATCACGTGCGCTACAACGTTCCCATAAGTCGTTCCTGCCAGTAAATTGAGAGTGAAAACTACTAAAATGATGCACAGAATATTATTGTAAATTTTGATTGACATCATTATTTTGCTTTACATTAATGTAATCTAAAGTACACAACATGAAAGTTTATACATTAACCGGTTATATAAACAAATTGTGGGCATTAAATTTTGAGAGACGAGATTCATCTGTTTAGTTAGTTAGAGATCAATTTATCTCATTGATGATACCACACGTTGAATTGTTGTTAGTCGTTGATGAATAATATCAGATAACAAACTAACTATCATTAATATTTAAGTCAGTTTCATTGAATGAATGTGGATTACATATATCCAATCTATTCTTACTGGCGTTATCTCTTTTCAATCTTCCCTAAGACCCAAAAACAAGTGCATTTCATTATGTTTCACCTCTCAGAAATAAAATTGATTACTTTGTAGTTTATCATTCGGCAAGTTCAAAATAATAGAGATATCTCTTCATTGAATTATTGATCATACACATACAAGGCTATATATACACATAGGAAAACCCTAATACACAATTACTATAGTAAATACATATTTACTACAATACGCCCCCTCAAAATGGAAGGCGGAGAAGCAAGAAGCCGAAGTTTGTCTCGAAAATCATGAAACAAGTCCTTGGATAAAGACTTGGTAAGAATATCAGCAACCTGATCAGCAGCAGACAAGGAGTGAATCGAAACAAATTTACGACGAACATGATCACGAACAAAATGAAAATTCACCTCAACATGCCGTGTACGCGCATGAAAAAATGGATTGGCAGCAAGAAAAACTGCACTACTGTTATCACACCAAACAGAGGGAGTGCTACGTAAAGAAACACCCAATTCGGACAGCAGATGACACACCCAGTGCAGCTCAACACAAACATGGACAATGGCACGAAACTCAGCCTCAGTAGACGACCGAGCAATAGTGGGTTGTTTACGTGAAGTCCAAGCTAAAAGATTAGGACCCAAGTAAACAAGAAATCCAGTAGTGGATCGACGATCATCAGGGCAACCAGCCCAATCAGCATTACAGAAGGCAGTAAGAGTACCTAAGGCGGTGGGATGAAGAACAAGACCAAGATCAAGAGTCCCAAGAAGATAACGAAGAACCCATTTGAGAGCCTGAAAGTGACCAGTGCGAGGCTGATGCATAAATTGACAGAGCTTATTGACAGCAAAACAAATATCAGGTCGAGTCAAAGTAGTGTACTGAAGACTACCACAGAGACGGCGATAAGTGGTAGTGTTCTCAGAAGAGAGCAACGTGCCATCCATACGAGACAACAGAACACCAGACTGCATAGGAGTGGAAATGAGTTTGCAAGTACTCATATTAGCACCATGAAGCAAATCAGCCAAATACTTACGCTGAGACAAGATGAGACCCCGTGGAGTACGAGTAACCTCAATGCCAAGAAAGTAACTAAGAGGACCCAAGTCCCGAATAGAGAACTCCTTAGCAATAAAAGAATAACATGCTGAATAAAATCAGAAGAGCTACCTATAAGAATAATATCTTTCACATAAACCAGAAGAAAACATAAATGAGGGCCACGCCGATAAATGAATAAAGACGGATCACACCAAGACTCCGTGAAACCCATGGTCATAAGAAAAGCAGCCAGCCTAGAGTACCACGCCCAAGGAGCCTGCTTGAGACCATATAGCAACTTATGGAGCTTACAGACAAAATGAGGGCGCAAAGGATCAATAAAGCCCTGGGGCTGAATCATATGAACTGTCTCATGTAAGACAAACATCAAGCTGCTAAACTAACCAACCACGAGACAAAGCAACTGTAAGAACAGTACGAATAGTAACTAGCTTGACAACCGGACTAAAAGTATCAGTATAATCAGAACCAAAAGACTGAGTGAAACCTCGAGCCACCAGACGCGCCTTATAGCGCTCAATAGAACCATCAGCATGGGTCTTAATCTTATACAACTATCGATTCCCAACAACATTTCCAGAGGAAGGTGGAGGAACAAGAGTCCAGGTATGATTTTTCTGAAGAGTAGAGATCTCATCCTGCATAGCAAGTTGCCATGGAGGAAGAGATTTGGCTTGAATGAAAGAAGTAGGAGTAACTGGAAGAGAGGGTAAGGAAGAGGAAGACTGAGTAAGATGTGCAAATTTAGTCTTAGTAAGAGTGGTGGGACGAAGTTCCATTGGGTGCCAATGAAGAAGAGCAGGTTCAGGCACAGGAGTTTCAGGCGCAGGATGGTCTTGAGTTAAATCAACAACCAACTTCAGACCCAGAGAGGAAGTGGAAGCAGAAGAAGGGGAAGCCATGGATGGCGACGGACTCGCATGAGGAGAGGGATCCATGGGAGTGAGAGGTAAAGGGTCAAAAGATGAAGAAGGTGAAGCAGAAGAAGGAACAACATGGGTAGACGACGAGGCCAACTCAGGAGAGCTAGTGACTCACAACCAAGGGGTAGGAAAAGATGGTGGCGAAGGCGGAGTAGAATTAGCTAGAGGACGTTTCAAAGGGAAAAGTTTCTCATCAAATTGGACATGACGAGCAACATAAAGACGATTAGTGGTGGGATCAAGATATCTATAAC